TGTTTCGCAAAGAATAAGGCGTTAACATAATTGAGCGGGGCCAAGCTGCGGTGCATCGCCATCCCCACGCTTGCCTTAGGCTTCTGCTGCTTTCATACTTTGCAACGTGACGCTCTGGGAGAATCGACATTTTGGGTAAAGATACTTATGTTTTTGCCTAAAACGTCGATTCGCTCAAAACGGTGATTTTCCTAAACACCTAGTCGCAAAGTATGAAAGCAGCCTCAGGCTTAGAAGACGATGAGAATCGCGTGCGCGATAGGCAGCATCCATACTATGCGACTGACATTCGGCGATGGAGACTCGGTGTTTCGGGCCATTCCGTGCCAGGGAAAGTGAATGGATATCGATCGGCGCCGGATCGCTAGGAACCGACCCCGGGCGAAACCATATCATTTCCATGGCGCGTAAGGCCTGGAACGCCGAGTCTTTCAAATCGCCAGATTGACACCTATGCTTTCCTCGTCACGCAATATATCGAATGGCCAGTCTAAACTCTCCTCAGTCGCCAAGTACCCAGAGCCCCGTTCAACTAACAACAAGTTAGTCCCAAAAATGATTTCGAGAAGGTCATATAAATACCTGCACTTCAAAAACTTGAGGCCATTCCGGAGTCCCATAGAACTTCTTTAAAGCGTCATTAACAAAGGTCCACACATCTCGAGCACTTATGACAACATCGCTCTAGAAATAAAAAAATTACGATTTTCGCCATGTGGAGGTGATGAAGATAATGAGGTTGACGCAGCTCGGGGGTGGGGACGGCGGGGTGCAACTGCTCCTCTAGTTCTGTTAATTTAACAAGTCCTAGTGACCAGAGTGGATGCGCTCCAGAAGAGAAGATGTAGCCGCAGGCGTGTGTCCCCACGTTAGCGCCAAGCCATACATGACCCCTCCCGAGCCACGTTAGCGCCAAGCCATATATGATAAAACCTACGTCAGTTCTTCCATTGATCAGATCAACAAGGTGATGCGGAATATCTGCAGTGGTGTAGTATGCAGAAGTTCCTTCTCCGCGATCTGCGCTATACGAAAGGTGCTTCCCACTAGCGGTCATTTCATCGGACAACGATTTGGCCTGCTCATAATAAATCTTATTACGATCAATTACCAGACATGCTTCGCTGCCAACTCACCGCTTTTATTATATGAGAATTACAGATGTATTTCCTTTTACAAGTGATATTTTCCACCAAACTGTCGACTTTCGCCCTTTCCACATCTCCGATCAACGACAGCGAAGCAACCATTATGAGGTTAGGAACTTTCGATGGGGAGAAAATTTGCTTCATAACTCCCATGCTGTTCATTTCCCCACAGTAAGCGCAAGATCTCTTCTTCATTTTGCAATGGAAATCTGAAAAAGGTATTCCTGTTGCTCGGTTGCAACTACGAACTATGAAAGAACACAAGAGAAGGTTGTTTTCAAATGATCGATCAAAGATGATTCCAAGCTACTCGTGGGTAGTAGGATTCGAACACAAATTTCAAGGTGTCAATAAGCTCGACAGAGAACAAAAACCGCCGAAAACTCTCTAAATAACATCACTGTTGGTTCTTACAGTAGCTATTATGAGCGTACGGCCAAAACACATTGAATGTAGAAAACAGATACAGATGATGATATGGCAAG